AGGAACCATATGTGGTCCTCCTGCTTTGCCTGCCAGGCCTACACAGACTTGATGCCCCTGCCTTGCTACCCTGGTGCAGTGTGGGGCTCCTGGTATCGCACAATCTCCTTCCTTGGTGGAACCCATACATCTGTGCTAGAGTCTCACATAGAGCTTTGAAGAATCTAAAATATATATATTTGTGTACCCAGAATAGGGATGAATGTGTCACTCATCTGGGTTTCTCTGATTCTTCAAGGTTGCAGTATGAAAGTTTGTGTATGTATGTATTGTGCATGAATGCACATATGTGTGTGTACACATGCAAGTGTTTATGCATGCGTATGTGTGTATGCATGTCTGTGCCTCTGTATGTGTGCTTGCGCTAGTTCTCCTAGCCCTCCTTAAACATCACTGTCATTTGATGTTGGCCTGTCTATCCTCCTTCTGCCCCGGCCCACACCCTGCAGTGACATCATGGACCAAATGGAACTTGGGTGTACCTTCTCCCACACTCGATGCAGATTCCATCCAGCTCTCACTATTTTCTTTTTTTTTTTAAGTGAGAAAGCAGGATTTATTAAGAGGACAGAAAAGCTCCCACAGTGGGAGGGGCAGTTCTTACTCTTGAATGTAGACCTTGCTCATATTAACCAACTGTAAGGTGTAAGAGACAGTCCCCACAAGACCATCCTTCCCTCTGACAGCAACTGCAAGTCTGAGAGGATACCAAAACCACTCTCTATCCTTTGCTAGGAAGACTCACAGAACTCAGAAAAAATTGTTAGGCTCATGGAGTCAGTTTATTCCAGGGTAAGGCTATAAATTATAGCCAACTGAGATCAGAGAATGCAGAGCTTTCACTCATCCTTTCCTGCACCCCCCTCCCCCCTCTGCCACACTGGAGTCCTGGACAGTGTGACCTCCTCCTGGTCAGGTTGTGTGATGGCACACATAGCATAATTCCAGAGAGGAAGATACCCTGAGTTTTTGTGTTCAGGTCGCTCTGAACTTGATCGCTTGCTGCCTGTGTGCTACTTTAAGTGTTCGAACCGCTTGCTATCATGTGGGCCAAATCACAGTCACCCACATAAACATTCCTGCATAAATCACAATGTCAGACAGCCAGTGGCTGAAGCCCCTAGAAAAAAAAGGCACTCCTGTTAGGCAAAACATCCCAGGGGTCTGGGGATCACTTCTCAGTAGTTGAGTACAAAGGCCAGACCCCTCTTTGGGGAAGGCTAATTCTTGACTATACAGACCTCTACCTCTGCCTCTGCCTCTGCCTCTGCCCTAGAATAAAGTTTGAGGATCAGGAGGGGCACAAACCATCTCTTCCAATCCCTGCATGTTTCTGGTAGCTGGGAGCTTCTTTCCAATTGAGAGGGAGGAGATTGGACCACCCTGGTCAGAGAGAGAGCACCAGTCAACCTCAGCATCTGTTTGCTGGATACCACAGAGTGAGCAAGAGCAAAGTTTACCCCCATGAAGGTAATAAACTCCAGGAAATAGATATGGGAGGAAAGAGAGATGGAGGAAAGAGTAGAGAAGAGAGGCGGGACAAGGATACAACCCCTGGTTTGTGTATAAACCTCACAGAAAATGGTGCAGGTGCCATGATTGAGTATTTCTGTATGTTGATAATACTTCTCAGGCAAGAAAGTCAGGAGCATGAGCTGCCTGCTCAGTCCTCTGTCAGAACCACTGAGTGTTCAAGCTGCGAAGCTCTCATTTCTGAGGTAGCAGGCAGTGTCAGGGTGACCAGTTGACAGATGAATCTCGGCCAGGCTGATGGAGGATGAGTCACACGTGTGCCAGGTTAGCCCCATGGGAAAGGATGCACCAGTCTCATGTGGGGCAGTCATCACAGGCATGCCAGCCAGCACTTATGGAGTGTTCTCTGGGGAAACACTGATCTGGTCCCAGTGAGAGAAGAGCAGGAGCACACAAGGGAAGTCCTGACCACAATGATACAAAGACCTCGATCCGAGTCAGGCAGAACACTGTGTCATAGCAGAGGGTGAGCAAGAGGCATCAGGGTGAAGGAGAGGCAGGGACACCTCTTGGAGGAGGTGAGGCGGGACCTGGTAGTCAGGGAAGGGTTTACACTCTGACAAGTAGAATGGGTGGGGCTCCAGGGAGGCAACATAGAAGCAGGGGAACTTTGGGGTGTAGACCTGGAGATATGAGTATAGCCTTGCTAAGGTAGCAGCAAGTAGCCCTGTGTGATTGTGTTTGCACCATTACACCCCCCACATCCTAATGAGTCAGACTTTCCTAGTGAGGCCATTTCCATGTCCTGGGGAAAGTACCTTAAAGAGCATTCACAGGCAAGCTCATGAAATGGAGAGACATAGACAGACACAGCCATGGCTTCCTATGCTGCAAAGGTAATGTATCCTCACCACACACTGACCTTTCAAGTTAGCCTTCTAGTGGATTTTCTTTCATGACTAAGTTAACCTGGAGCAGACAGAACACTGGGCATTGTGTAGCAGATCCTAAGAAAGGCCACCAGCCCATGACTTTTTCCTGACTTTGAGGAGCAGCAATCCTGAGGTAAAAAGAATGCACAGCCAGCAGCCTGTGGTGGAGTCACACCCTGAGCTGCTTTCCCCATGGTGGGCCTGACTCCCACAGGCCACAGCCGACAGGACCACCATTCCACAGGCTCTGGTGTGAAGAATGTTTACACAATTGCTCATTCTGGTCACATTTTTTCATGTTCTTACAAAGTTGTGCCTGGGTATACATGCATGCGAGTGTTTATGTGTGCATGTATGTATCTGCAGTGTGAGCACATGATGTTTGTATACATGGGCACTTGTGCAGTGCATGCCCATGTGTGTCTATATGTACATGTGTATGCATGTGCACACGCATGTATTTGTGTAGATGTGTATGTGTGCATGTGCATGCTGGCATTCTGCACTGCAGCAACCTTAAATATATTTTGACTACACATTAAGACTTTCTCAAGAATGTTCCCTTGTGTCACCCCAGAGTGAGCAGCCTATGAAAGGCAATGTGAGAACCACCCCTCACACTGGGCTGTCCCCTTTCTTGTCCTCAAAACTGGCATGGAAGGGGTAAACTTGCAGAAGTGAACTCTGTGATTTAAAAGTTGAAGTCAAAAAGGAGAAAGTCAATTTCCCTTCTCCTTTTCTAAATCAGCAGGAAAAGTGCAGCTATACAGGCTTGAGGTATGAAGAGCCTGAGTATGGGCAGGCCATGGAGCCCAGACAGCGAGTCTTTCCGGGATCAAAGTGAGGAGGGTGCCGTGCTGAGTGGGGCCTTCCCACAGAGAGTACAAATTGCTGAACCATCCCTTGTCTTTCTCCTGGGGCCAAGGCCTGTTTTACAGTTTATGAGCCTAAGAGTTGCAAACTCCTTCAGGTTGGTGAAGAATCAACACTATGAAATGACGGTCTCTGTGTGTGAGATATCCCCCAACTTTGTGTTCTGTTTCCAGAAACAAAATAAAATATTTTAAGGCTGCCAAAAGTGCATAGACCAGCCTCTTTCTCCTTTCCTCTCTCCTCTCTCTTCTCCCCTTTCTTCTTTTCTTTTTCCTTCCTTCCCCAACACATCCTGAGCCCTGCAATCGTCCAAGTTCTGTGGGAGTGCTGGGGATATGTGGTGAATAAGAACTGCCCACAAGGACTTCACACTCCTGTGAAGGAGAGAAATGAAACCAACATATAATTAGAAATTATGATCTTTACCTTGAAGAAAAACAGCAGTGCTGTAAAGGAGAATCACAGACAATTCTAATTTATGCTGTAGAGCTGGTGACAGTCAGGTGACAACCTCTCTATGTAAGTAACAGTACATTCTTTTTTTTGAGTTGGAGTCTCACTCTGTCACACAGGCTGGAGTGCAGTGGCACGCTCGTGACCACCGCAGCCTCGATCAGCTGGACTCAGGGGGTTCTTCCACCTCAGACTTTCAAGTAGCTAGAATTACAAGCCCATGTCACCATGCCACGTAATTTTTCTTTGATTTATTGTAGAGATTAGATCTCGCCAAGTTGCCCAGGCTGATCTTGACCCCTGGGCTTAGGCAATCCTCTCACCTTGGCCTCCCAAAGTGCTGAAATTATAGGCATGAGCCATCGCACTCGGCAACATTTCATTCGTATTTTAATCAATATTCTTCCAATTACTAAAAATCTGCTACTCTAGGGACTGGAGAAACAGTAGGGCTAAAACAAGTGAGGCTTTTGAGGATACTCAAAGATGCTGTTTTCCTGTAAGAAGTGACAGACATCAACCCAAACAGTAAATTATTACACAGATGAGCAGGTACAGTTTCTACAAAGATACATCATACAGGGAGGGGAAAGAGCAAGGGTTGCAACTTTGAATACATTGTCAGCATGGCTGCAGTGAGATAAGACTTGAGTGAGGTACGGAAGAAAGCCCTGAAGATACGTGGGCAGAGACTATTCTAGGCTGAAGAAACAGCAGGTGCAAATGCCCTCATGCAGGAATGTGCCTTGAATGTTCTAAGGGCCCCAAGGGGAAGAGCGAGGCAGGAGCCTAATGAGCCCCCTGCATGAGAGGACAACAGGAAAGGACAAGATGGGAGAGGGACTGGGCCAAGGTCTAGGGCTTGGCAGTACCTATGTGGTTTTGCCTTGAGTGAAAGGTGAGCTCCTAGGGGTGTGGGGTGGGGGAGTGAAGTGGTCTGGCTGTGTGCTCCCAGGGATGCCTTGTGGAAATCCCACAGGGGGCCAGGCTAAACACAGGGAGACCACCAAACCTGAGATTCAGAGATTGCTGGCAAACTGTGAGGGGAAGGCACTCAGAAGACATGCTCTACCCTCTCCCACATCTTTCCACCTGGGCTTCAGGCCGGGAGATGAGAACTGGGAGACTCCCTCTGAACTCTCACTGTGCAAGCAGACTGCAGGGCTTGAGCTGTGCCAAAGATGACAAGCTTAGGAGCCTGAATCTTCGTCCTGGGGACAATTCTGCCAGTCACCAGCCATGAAACCTCTTGCAAAGAAATGGAGTCTCACTCGCTGCCGCTGACCCGCGCTCTGTGTTCTCTTGTGGCCCCGCTGCCCCGCATCTCCGCCGATCGCAATGGAAGAAGAAATCGCCGCGCTTGTCATTGACAATGGTTCCGGCATGTGCAAAGCTGGCTTTGCCGGGGATGACGCCCCCTGAACCGTGTTCCCCTCCATCGTCGGGCGTCCCCGACACCAGGGCGTTATGGTGGGCATGGGTCAGAAGGACTCTTACGTGGGCGACGAGGCCCAGAGCAAGCGAGGCATCCTGACCCTGAAGTATCCCATCAAGCATGGCATCGTCACCAACTGGGACGATATGGAGAATATCTGGCACCACACGTTCTACAACGAACTGTGTGTGGCTCCCGAGGAGTACCCAGTGTTGTTGACCAAGGCCCCCCTGAACCCTAAGACCAACAGAGAGAAGATGACTCAGATCATGTTTGAGACCTTCAACACCCCGGCCATGTATGTGGCCATCCAGGCCGTGCTCTCCCTGTATACGTCTGGTCGTACCACTGGTATTGTCATGGACTCTGGAGACGGGGTCGCCCACACGGTGCCCATCTACAAGGGCTACACCATTCCCCATGCCATCCTGCGTCTGGACCTGGCTGGCCGGGACCTGACAGACTACCTCATGAAGATCCTCACAGAGCGTGGCTACAGCTTCACCACCACAGCTGAGCGGGAGATTGTGCGTGACATCAAGGAGAAGCTGTGCTACGTTGCCCTGGACTTCGAGCAGGAGATGGCCACCGCCGCATCCTCTTCCTCCCTGGAGAAGAGCTACGAGCTGCCTGATGGCCAGGTGATCACCATTGGCAATGAGCGGTTCCGGTGTCCAGAGGCGCTGTTTCAACCCTCCTTCCTGGGCATGGAATCCTGTGGCATCCACGAGACCACCTTCAACTCCATCATGAAGTGTGACGTAGACATCCGCAAGGACCTGTACGCTAACACAGTGCTGTCTGGTGACACCACCATGTACCCGGGTATTGCTGACAGGATGCAGAAAGAGATCACTGTCCTGGCTCCCAGCACCATGAAGATCAAGATCATTGCTCCCCCTGAGCGCAAGTACTCCGTGTGGATCGCTGGCTCCATCCTGGCCTCTCTGTCCACCTTCCAGCAGATGTGGATTGCAAGCAGGAGGACGATGAGTCGGGCCCCTCCATCGTCCACCACAAATGCTTCTAAACGGACTGTGAGCAGATACGTAGCATTTGATGCATGAGTTAATTCATAAGTATAAATTTGCCCTGGAAAATGTATACACCTCATGCTAGCCTCACGAAACTGGAATAAGCCTTTGAAAAGAAATTTGTCCTTGAAGCTTGTATGATATCAGCACTAGATCGTAGAACTTGTTGCTGATTTTTGACCTTGTATTCAAGTTAACTGTTCCCTTGGTATTTGTTTAATACCCTGTACATATCTTTGGTTTAAACCCTTAGTACACATGTGGCTCAGTCACTTCATGGCTGAGGTGAGACCATGCTTATGGAAGAGAAGTCTGTGATCTGTGAATCTGCCTGACCAAGAGTCTTGATCTGTGCAGGGTATTAATGTGTCAGAGCTGAGTATTCCAGGATTTCTCTAGAGATTGGCAAGAGCCGAACAAGTTGTCATTTCTGTCTTGCCAGTTGGTCTAACAGGGTTGGAAAGGTCCCAGCCTTAGGACCCAGTTTCCTAACTGTTTTCCTGCCAGAACACCATGGGTTGTTACTTGCCTTGAGTTGGAAGCGGTTTGCATTTACACCTGTAAATTTATTCATCCTTTTAATTTATGTAAGGTTTTTGTACGCAATTCTTAATTCTTTAAGAGATGACAGCAGATTTTGGTTTTCTACTGTTATGTGAGAACATTAGGCCCCAGCAACACGTCATTGTGTAAGGAAAAATAAAGTGCTGCAGTAAACTGAAAAAAAAAAAAAAAAAGAAATGAGTCTCCAAATCAGACCCTGATATAAGTATGATATAAGTAAATATATAATTGTGTCTGCCTGCTTTTCCACCTTTGTGGGGAAGATTAGAAAGGGAAATTTGAAAAATCTCAGGACCCCCAAACTCATTTTACTAAAGGGAAAGTTATGCCTGAAGACTAAGTCATGCAACATCACCATGCTTTTCCCCAAATAAATAGCTGTTACTTCACAACCTAGTATCAAAGCATTATAGTTAGCCATACACTCACAGAAAGGCAAACGGCTTCAGGTATCTCCAGAGGACTGCCCTCACCAATTGTTCTTTGCAGGTCTCAAACCTCTCAAGATGTATATTCTCCTATAAAACAAGGACAAGTCCACTGTAACTTTGGGTCTGCAATCCACGTCTAACTCCTAAAACTGAAGTCTGTGAGATTTCACACTGATAATACTTATCTGCCCAGGTACAGAACACAGGCAAGATGAGATCAATCATTCCTCCACCTGCTAACTTCTTCCTACATGTCTTCCCCCTCCCCCTTTAAGGAAATTTGTAAACGCCAAACCTCCTGAAGCTCTCTTTAGGTAACACCAGCCACTGGCATGTCTGTGACTCAGCTCTCCTGGGTGTGCCTTTAAGCAATGGCTTGATTAACCTTGATGAACTGAGACTCTTGCCCCAGCCACTCATTTTGGCTAACAGGATCATACAAGAAAATAAATGCAAAGGTATTTCAGAGAATATAAAAAGTTATCAGAAAACACTAAAATATTCTCCTAATCTGCCATACAACATAGTCTTAGTAAAATAAAAAGGATGTTTCCTGCATTTTCTAAGGTTGTTTTTTATTTAATCAATATTTTTTATTATGATTTTGTGGGGTACTGTTAAGGGTTAGGTGTACAATTACATTTCATTCAGGCACCCTGTTGATAAGAGGTGTTTCCCCATCCCCAGACAGATATTTGCGACTGTTAAGCCCCCCTTCCCCCTCCATAGTTTCCCAGTACTGTCAGTCATTTTCTTATAGTATTACATTGGATGTTCAGGGTCCATTATATGAGTGAGAACTTGTGATAATCGGATCTTTGTTTCTGTGAGAGGTCACTCAGTATTATACACTCTAGTTCCATCCAGGTTGCTGTGAAATTCATGATTTTGCTCTTTTTTATGGCTGCGTAGTATTCCATTGTGTATATGTACCACATTTTTTAATCCAGTCTTCTTTTGATGGGCAGCATGGTTGTTTCCAGGTTCTTGCTATTGTGAACAACGCTGCGATAAACATACGTGTGCAGGTATCTTTTTATAGAGTGATTTGAGTTCTTCAGGGTATATTCCCAGTAGGGGGATTGCAGGGTCATATGGAAGGCCAATTTTTAGAGCTTTTAGGAATCACCACACTGCTTTCCACAGAGGTTGTACTAGTTTACACACCCACCAACAGTGTAGAAGTGTTCCCTTTTCACCACACCCTCTCCAGCAGCTGTTATTTTTTGAGTTGTTGGTAATTGCCATTCTGACTGGAGTTAGGTGGTACCTCAGTGTGGTTTTGATTTACATCTCCCTGGTGATTAGTGAGGTTGAGCAATTCTTCATGTGTTTGTTGGCTACTCGGATGTCTTCTTTTGTGAAGTGTCTGTTCATATCTTTTGCCCATTTGGTAATGGGGTGGTTTGTTTTTATCTTTTCAGCACGTTTGAGTTCCTTGTAGATCCAGGATGTTAAGCCTTTGTCAGACCTGGAGTTGGCAAATATTTTTCCAGTCTGTAGGCTGTCTCCCTGCTCTCTTGATGGTTTCTTTGGCTTTGCAGAAGCTTGTCAGTTTAATAAGGTCCCACTTGTCTATCTTCTCTCTTATGACCTGTGGGTTTTGGGTTTTGTTCAGGAATTGGATGCCAGTTCCGATTTCCATGAGGGTATTTCCTTCCTTTTCTAAGGTTCTTATGGTTTGAGGTTTTACATTTAGGTCTCTGATCCATTTGGAGTTAACCTTTGTGCTTAGGGATAGATAGGGGTACTGTTTCAATCTTCTGCATGTGGTCACCCAGTTTTCCCAGCACCATTTACTAAATAGGTACTCCTCTCCCCAGTGGTAGGTGGTGGGGGCTTTGTTGAAGATGAGTTGGTTGAGAAATTGAGGTTTTGCTTCTGGAATCTCAATTCTATTCCATTGATCTATATGCCTGTTCCTGTACCAATACCAAGCTGTTTTGATGATTGTAGCTTTATAGTAAAGTTTGAAGTCTGGTAATGTGATACCACCTGCTTTGATTATTTTTGCTGAGGATTGTTCTGGCTATTGTTCGACGTTTGAGTTTCCATATGCATTACTGTGTTGTTTTTTCCAGGTCTGAGAAGAATGTTGCTGGTAATTTGATGCTGGCATTGAATTTGTAGATTGCCTTTGGTAAGCTGGACATCTTCACAATGTTGATTTTTCCAATCCATGAGCATGGGATATTTTTCCTCTTGTTTGTGTCATCTTTGATTTCTTTGAGCAGTGTTTTGCAATTTTCATTGTAAAGGTCTTTCACGTCTCTGGTTAGGAAGGTGCCAAGGTATTTCATTTTTTTTTTGTGGCTATTGTGAATGGAATTGTGTTTTTTATTTGGGTTTCTGTTTGTTTATTATTGGTGTAGAGAAATGCGATTGTCTTTTGAACATTTATTTTGTATCCTGAGACTTTGCCAAAGGACTTTAACAATATAAGGAGGCTTTTGACAGATTCTCTTGGGTTTTCAAGGTACACAATCATATCATCTGCAAAGAGAGATAACTTGACTTCCTTTTTTCCTATTTGGACACCCCTGATTGCCTCCTCTTCTCTGATTGCTCGAGCTAGGACTTCCAATACCATGTTGAACAGGAGGGGTGAGAGTGGGCATCCTTGTCTAGTTCTAGTTTTCAGGGGAATTGGTTCCAATTTTTGTCCATTTAGGAGTATGCTGCCTGTGGATTTCTCGTAGATGGCTTTTACTATTTTGAGGTATGTTCCCCGTATGCCTAGATGTTCAAGGGTTTTTTATCAAGAAGGGGTGCTGGATTTTATCAAAAGTTTTTTCTGCATCTAATGATATGATCATGTGGTTTTTGTTTGACATCTGTTGATGAATTTAATTACATTTATGGTTTTATGATGTTGAACCAGCCTTGCATCCCAGGAATGAAGCCTACTTGGTCATGGTGGATGATTTTTGAGATGTATTGCTGAATCCGGTTTGCTAGGATCTTGTTGAGAATTTTAGCATCTATGTTCATCAAAGATATTGGCCTTTAGCTCTCTTTCTTTGTTGGATCTTTACCTGGCTTGGGTATCAATGTGATGTTGGCTTCGTAAAATGATTTGGGGAGAGTTCCATCTTTTTCAATCGCCTGGAATACCTTCAGTAGGATTGGTATCAGCTCCTCCTTAAATGTCTTGTAGATTCTGCTGGAAAGCCTTCTGGACCAGGGCTTTTTTTTTTTGTAGGAAGTTTTCTTATTACGTAGTCGATTTCCTTGATTGTTATTGGTCTATTTAGGGTCTCAATTTCTTCTTGTTCCAACCTAGGTAGGTTGTGTGATGACAGAAAGTCCTTTATTTCCTTAAGGCTTTCAAATTTGTTTCCATACAAGTGTACGTAGTAGTCTCTAATGATCTTTTGTATTTCTTCAGGGTCAGATGTGACTTCATCTTTTGTGTTTCTGATTGTGCTTATTTGGTTTTTTTCTCTTTTTTTCAGTCTAGCTCTTGGTCATTCTAGCTAGGGGACCATCAATCTTGTTTATCCTTTTGAAGAACCAGCTTTTTGTTTCATTGATTTTTTGTATTATCTTTTTGTCTTCTATGTCCTGGATTTGGGCTTTTATTTTGGTGATCTGGATTTTTCCACTGAAATTAGGGTTTTTGTGGTCTTGCTTTTCCAACTTCTTTAGGTGGCTTGTTAGGTTGTGAATTTCTGTTCCTTCCATTTTCTTCATGTGTGTTTGTAGGGATATAAATTCCCGTCTTACTACAGCTTTCAGGGCATCCCAGAGATTTTGGTAAGATGTGTCTTCGTTTTCATTTGTTTCCAGGTATCTTTTGATCTCTGTTTTGATTTCATCATTGACCTAGGAGTTGTTTAGCATCATGTTGTTTAGTGTCCATGTCTTTGTGGGTTTTGGGGGGTCTTTGTTGGTGTCAATGTTTATTTTTATTCTACTGTGGTCGGAGAAGGTACATGGTAAAATTTCGGTCCTTTTAAATTTGCTTATGCTTGATTTATGGCTGAGTATGCAGTCGATCTTAGAATATGTTCCATGTGGTGATGAGTAGAATGTGTATTCTGTGGTCTTTGGATGGAGTGTTCTGTAAGTATCAATTAAGTCCATTTGGTCCAAAGTCACATTGAGGTTCCGGATCTCCTTGCTGATTTTTTGTCCTGATGATCTGTCTAGGGTTGTGAGTGGGGTATTAAAGTCCCCAGTTATGATGGTGTTAGAGTCAATATCTTTCTTTAGTTTTCCTAGAAGTTGCTTTATGAAAGTTGGCACACTTATATTGGGTGCATATATGTTTAGGATAAATATTTCTTGTTGATGGATTGAGCCTTTTATCATTATGTAGTGGCCTTCTGTATCTTTTTTGATTTTTAATAGCTTGAAGGATATTTTGTCTGAAATTAAGATTGCTACTCCTCCTTTCTTTTGTATTCTGTTCGCCTGAAAGTTTGTTTCCCATCCTCTAACTTTGAGTCTGTGGGTGTCCTTTCTAGTGAGGTGAGTCTCTTGAAGGCAATAGATTGTTGCCTGATGATATTTTATCCATTTTGCCATTCTATGTCTTTTCAGTGGTGCATTTAGTCCATTCACATATAGGTTAGTAATTGAAATGCAAGAGTTGATCCCTGTCATAAGGTTCTTACAGAGTTGTTCCTGTTTGTTTGTTGTCTTTCTTTGGGTTTTGGAATTGGTTCATGTGTGTTTTTAATCTTTTGCCTGTACTCTTGTGAAGAATGCTGTTGTTCT